AACAGTTCATTGAAACTGAAATTTGTCGTCCTATTTAAACACTGCTCAACCCCGTTGGTATAATAACCTCATCAACACTCAGAGCATTCGGAGACAAGGAGAACACGCATGCAAATCTCATCCCAGTTCAGTAATAAACAGAATGTCTCAAATTTGCGTAAAGCAATTAGATGTTATTATTGCGACACAGAGACTCCGCTGACCACAAAGCCCAAGATGCTCCGTCGCGAAGTAGGATTTTATTGGGGTTAGAGGAACAAACACAAATGAGAAAGATACAATTCCGTGTAATTTCAATGGCAGCCCGGCTTCATATTCCCTGTGAGGTTTATTAGATCTTGAGTGATTCTCTACAGCAGACTGTTTTATAATCACACTGGGCAAACCTAGATGGGAAAAAGTATTCCTGACCACGTATTACCAATTTTGTCAAACATTAGCGTGCTGTGCTATCTTCTTCCTTATTAAGACCTGAACTGGCAACCATTTGTTCTCCCTTATATCCAACATGTATAACTGTGCTAACGAAGGTCTCCTTCGTCAAGCCATTTCTAATTTCCCGGATTTCAGTAAAATCAATGAAAGCCTATCTCGAATAGAATCTTTTCTTAGATTGCTCTCATGCTGAATCCACCTAAAAGTATTGAAGATGTTTTCAGTCTTTCTCAGCCACCCACCCCCACCGATCCTCTTATATTTTCTTCAAGTTCTGCAACCAGGATTCATTCCATCGTATTGTCGGGTGTTGGCTTTGACATCAACCTAGGATTGATATCTCACAGTCAGCACGGTCAGTAAACTGCAACGTTTGCAAATGACAAAACCTCAGGTTTACCACCAGTGACAATTTTTCTCGAATCTTTTCGGTTATGGGTTCCTCAGCTGCTGTTCCACTGGTAACCGGAACACCTCACCGGCCTTTTGAGAAAATACTTCAGATCCCTCCAACGCAGACTGGTAATTATTAGCCGCATTCAATCCCTCTGTTGTGATATTCGTTTAAATTAAACTGCCCACTAACAAAAGGAATCTTTCGTAGGTTACCCGCAACAAGCACAAGGCTATAAGTGAAAAACTCGCTAGATTCAGATGATGCAATGCTCTTGTTTTCATTCTGATATACCTAAAGCGTACATTGTTGTCTAGTTTGTTTGTGTTACTCCACTCTTGTCAGAGCCTTTTGACTGAAATGTTAGCAGGTTACTTGCTAGTAAAATCAGTCTGGTTACGGAGTCCATTTGTTTACACAGGTCAAACAGCCACGGATTAGCGAAAAGTAATGGAGTTCCAGTCAACTTGTGGCATATCACTTGAAACGCCTGTTCTGGTTTGTCTAACATTATACAACCAGGTAATGGCGGCTGAATAGACTAAAAGGGAATCTTAGACTACACAGCGCTAAGTTCTTCGGGAAGCGTTCTGAGATCCTTGTGAGAAATCTGTTTTCAAAAGTGCATCTAAAAAGAAAAACTCATGAGCAGATAATCATACAGTCTGGCCAGTTCGAGTTGGATTCGACAAGCAATCTACTAGTCCTATAATTGAAGCTGCGCAACAAACCCTTGTTGTGATTTATTTTAGGGGGCGCTGTATTTTCTCGTCAGAGCAGCCACCTTCAAGTTGTGGCATGAAACAAATGTCGCATTCTTAGGAAGCGTTTCCCTGGCTTTTGGCTCGAATAATATGCTATACTTTGCAATGAATATCCGTGGGCATACGTTGTTTTGGAGTGTAGAGGGTATAAGTCTAAGACTGTCTTCCAGTATCTTCATGGAAAAAGTCCTTTTTGTTCTGGTAGATGGGCATATCATTGGGGCTCGTTTCTATGGTACTGGACGGAAGATTCTACAGTTCAGGTGCTGCTCTGTCCATATTAGTTCATGAAACAGATCTGAAGAGAGACACTAGTAAATATACGTTTGATTTTAGCATCCAAGAAATGTTATGAGGAATTTGCTCTCTATGGTGAGTGTAACGTTTAAATGGCAGTGGTCTAACGACGTCAGCATGTTTTCTGTCATTAACAACAAAATATGAGCATCATCATAATGACCATGGAAAAGTATATTATGTTTACCACGGCGCAGCCGGGTCGCTTTCACATTTCCCAAAAAGATAAATTTGCCCTGGTGAACTTCACACTGCTAAACTACTAACTCATTGAAGAGTAATAACACGTCATTTGTGCGCAGCGGTAGATTTTGATGGTGATGAGGTGGAATACTGCGGTCGGTTGCATGCGAGCAGGTAATGCCAATGGCTTTTCTTTAGGAGGACATTGGTAAACAACGAGGCCACCTCTTACGATCACATGTGTTCCTATGAATCTTTCAAATTCCTAACTTTTACACAAACTCAAATAAATCTCTCAGAGTGTGCAGCGCAAGCTTACGTCCGAAGAGTTCGACCTATCTGGTCCATCATCTTACCAGTATTTGATAGTGGTGTTCCAACCAGGAATAGTATAGGCCAGACCGTTGAGAGTATTACGCAAAAAGTTGGATCCATCTTATCCTGTGATGATATTTGTTCTTGCTCTGATGCAATATCTAAAGGGAATTGGATATCTGAAAAATTACACATCAAACATTTTTCCACGGGTTCACACGCACACGAATACCATGTGTTTTTTTATTTGTGTTTCACATTTTCGCTTATGTGTGGATCGGTGTAGCATTCCAAAAGGGGATTTTCTAGGATTTATCGTACCTTGTTTGTCACGAGAATGGCAGGTGCGCACAACGGATAGGATGATTCTAAAATAACGATTTCATCTGGATTCTGACAACAGCTTTTGGTTAGACCACAGAGAAAGTAATTTTGTTTAACTGAACAGTGCATTACATCACACATCTTCCAGGCGAACCCCAGGTCATTTTCTGTATTAATTGGCATCAAGTGAATTAAATCAGATGTCTTAGTACGTACACTATCAACCGCTCAGTCCCGCTGTGTGTCTTGGACCGATCTCTGTTAGATCATGTGTCAAAGTATTGTTTATTGCACGCTCACAGGCCGCTGTGGTCACGAAACCGGATCAAAACCGAAGATTGAGTGCAAACTGGTGGGCAGCCAGTCTTCAAAACCATCGATCACAATCTGTTTAGCTTACCCAATGAACTCCTTCGGTGTATAGCAGAAATGTGGCCTGCATGAACTAGTCTCGGATTTCTATTGTTTCTAGATAACTATTCACCAAGACATTTGTTCTGATCATTTTTCTGTGTTTTTCACCATGAACCAGTGCAGCAATACTTAGCCCCATGATTTCCATTCGTCGCGCTAGCGGAATTGAACGAATAATTTTGATAAATCTCTTTTCAAATTTCAGCATGGATTAATTCAGAAATACTTAGTGTTACCTTATTGTGCTGAAAATGGAATAACGGCAAGTGGCTGATACTCTCCTCATTGCTATTCATCCAGGACTTAACGAATTGAAGCATCGTCTCAAGTATGCTGTGTATAAACAAGGTGGTTGGAGATATAGACTGTGAAATAACTGTGGTTGACAACGAACAAAACTCAACGCTCGGGTTCCATAACAGATACAACCTAACAACTTCCTCTGATTATGGTACAGCGTGCCATTTTATTTTGGCCTATTTAAGGGAGCCGATGTTTTACGCCAAGCAGCGTCATCCAAACAGCAGCAAAATATTCGTACATTCGTCATCATTACATGACCGTGTAGATAACATAAGCCCATCGTAAGGAGGAACATGATTTATCTTTTTAGGCATGACGCTGTCACTCTTAGTCCGCTCCTTGTATCGTATTCATTTTTTCACTGGAAGACTAAAATAGTAAACATAACCCGTATTCTATCATTTATCTGTTTAATTTTCCAACACAGAATATTGCAGTGCGTGTAAAGGTAAGGAAATCAAGATATTGCACTCAGAATATTGACCGTGATAGTACGATCATGACTGCAGGAAAATGGTCATCATCTTGACATTTGTACAGCGTGAACCCAGATTCCAATACTGCTGCGGTAGAAGGGGCAGTCCTAACGATTATAAAACCTAGATCTGGCTTTCAACCTGGAATAATTTCAATGGCATGGAAAGGTAGACACCGTTGATTTGTGCTTATTCCTTCATTAACATATATCACCAATTTGGTAACTTTTAGTTCTGAAAGCTGTTGGTATCAGTGCCAAGTAGCTATTAAGATGACTTGGAAAAATAATAGCCGGAGCACTAATATATGTTCACATTTTTGATGGTGAACTTACCAACAGCATTTAGACGGGTATATATTTAAATCAATAGAAATCTGAAAAAAATGGTGGAATATGATTTCGCACATAAGGGGGTTCATACATTTCATTGCTAACAGTGTACCGAATAACAAACCAATGCTGAAAATGGGAATATTGTTGTGTACGAATTTTCCAAATTACAGTAAAATAACCATATTTTTCTAGATTCGTTTGAACAAGAAGAGACTTGAGTCACCAGAAGTGGGCGTTTTCCTCACCATTGTCTAATACGCATATGGAACGTGCCAATAAATACGTGATACAAGAAAATCCTCACAGTGGAATGCATCGAATATAAAGCTTTCACAGTGAGTTTTTCGTTGAGGTGAATGTTTACGCGGTTTTCAACAATGGATGCTAATATTTTCTGTGAAAAACGTTTGTGCTTGGAGCGCTGGTTGATGCAATAAAAGGCCCATTTATTCGCTGAATGCCAACAGCTTCGGTTTCGGATTGTGCAGTATCACTCTGGAGGCTTGGGCCACACAAACGTTTTGACCCGCAAAACTGATGTGTTTCGTAACTGGTGAAGTAGAGATTTGCTGGTTGGTTCGTTGGCATTTTATATTTTAATTTATTCAAAATCGCATACTCTTGGCAATGATAAGACTTTTCTATACCTCGAAAGACCGCTCTTCGTGATCGACTTTTCTGTATATGGGAAATCAGAGTTACAAAATGTTTATGACGATTTAAAGGACCCGCTCAGATAACCTTGAATTCTTGACGCCATATGCGACATTATTTGGCCATCTGGACATTTGAGTTTCCTACTGAAAGGCGAGATAATATAAAGTACCACAAGTATGTTCCATTTGAATGTGTTTATTTATCTTGAGTAAAATGATACCACCGACCTCAGCAAATGAATTTTTTACCCCAGGATCGTCACTTAGCATGCAATGATGGGCTCGTCCTTCGATGAGGTTAACCCCTATAGGTTTACCAATAAGCGGTATTTGAAGCATACGACTTCAGATTTATAAGTGGTAATAGGAGTTATTGTCAGTCAGGTTACCTCTGTCTCTCAATTTTATTTATCTCGTAGATCTCAGTTTTATTCAGAATATTTTTGGACACATCTTTGACTCTTTACCAGCCAACACACGTGTTCTTCGTGTAATTTATATGTCCCATTGCATTTGTTGCTGAGATAACTGCGACTGTAATTATTACTACGGTTATTTGTATCACTATTACTACCGCTACTACTGATACTACCACAACAACCACTACTAATACCTCTAATACTATGGTAGATGACGATACTACTGCTCTTACTATGGCCACTGTTGACACTATGACTGCCGTCACAAAGACTTTACTTTTTATGCCATGGGTATGCTTCTTTGGGAAGGAAGAAGTGATGTTTTGTTCTGCTTGGGCATGTCCACGGACCATCGCTCTATGTCCCACTCAAATTCCGCGCTTACCTACGCCTCAACAATGATATTAACTGCGTGCCAGGGAATAGTTTTATGCGGAAATCCTACTCACATTTGTACACAAGACTAACCTGCAATCCAGACTTCTATATAACATTGTAGGTGTAAGTAAATTGTTTACAAATATGCAACGGATCATGCCGGGATGACCTAAAAAATCCGCCGTTATTCCCAAGATTGGTAAGAGGGATATCGTCCGATAGGTGTGACTGTCAGGCTTATCGATGTTTTAGTTCCCGTCAGCTTTTTCCGATTGTAGTTCATCATGTTCGACAGCTTTTTTTGAGGAAGCTCAGCCAGTTTTGCTGCACAGTTCAGAAGGTGTGTAGAGGATGTTGTCCAAAACTTTGGCTCATTTCGGATTTTGGTGTCAAAGTCGACAATTCAATGTGTACTCACTTTCGGCGGGGCGATATGCAGCTGTTGATAGGTTCATTAGGCATAAAAATGTCTAACAAATGTATCCTTTTTATATCATGAAATTAAGCAAATGTTTGTACTGAGAGAGTAAACGGCCTATTCACAACGGTGTTTCGCTCGTAGGTCTGTCGGAGTAATCTGTCCATGATTAACCGCTGTGATTAGTTATTTGACTCGTCTAATTAGACTAGTCAGTTCCATCCCGGGTGCACGTCTAAAAGTACGGAATCCAGAGAAACGACCAAATTCCATGATACCGAAACGGTGCATAATGTGTTTCCCACAGCAACATCGTCGATTTGTCTGTCAGTGCAAACTAGCCAGGGAAAGGATTCGTTTGCTTTTCATAGCTTTAATTGTCTTTTGCGGACTGATTTTTGTACGCCAAATCCAAGTTCTTTTTCTTCGACAATTTCGAGAGACCTCCCGAAAAAGAACTTTTGCAAAAGGTGACCAAACAGCCCACGAGATCACATGTTCTCCTTCCTCATTCGCCTACTCCTGAAGCCTCGCATTCTCAAAACTGTCCCTGATCGTTTGAGTTTCAAAGCTGACTTATAAACTGGTACAAGCACTTTCGTCAGGCATTTTGTCAACTTTTGTTGTGCTGAATTTGTCATAGATAATACTGATGAAAGTGACAGTTTTGGATGAGCCATATTTAGGGGAGTTTGGGTAAACCTTAGCTGTAGTTGGTGAGCACTGTTCTTATTAATGAAACTTCCTCCTGGAAGAAGTTATTATTAGTCTTTCAATCCCCAGCTGAAACTCCTAATTTCAACCAAGTTTCTAACAATATAGTGTCCTATTTTTTATCCAGTAAATCATTGTGTCATTAAAATCTTGACAAAGCAGCGTCCTCAATACGTAATTCATCTATGCTCTAATGGTAATTTCCGATACTGTAGTGTAAGTCAATAAGTTTGGCAAATCGATCCCCGTCCTGTTATTCCAGATTTTTCAGTAAACGTTCAGTTTCATGTTGTTTTTGAAATGCACCACAGTAAAGTAAATGCATATTTGACTGAACTCAAACGATCGGAAATTTTGTTATTCGCTTTCACTGGAATATTACTGTATATGGTTCTCCCTCTGCTGAAGTAATCGTAGTTCGAAATACGCATACTACTACCTGCATTGTCCAACAAAAATACAGACAATTGAACTATTTGTTCAAAAGATGTACAAAGTTCATGAGGGTAATATTCGATGTCAAAACACGTACACATGAAATCTTTTATTCCAGTCACAACACACAGGATGCAAACGGAACAGTAGTAATCAATGAGGACTAACGAATGCACTATTTGGTTTCTGGGGAAAAACTAAGCAAGTCCCATGATCGGTATCTGTGTGGGGAAATAGTCACTGAGTTTGATCGGCGAATGCATTCAATGAACTATGCGGACAGTGGTAAGGAGTCTGATGTGTCCTCTTCACCACACTCCAAGAGAATTCATGTTAGAAAAACAGACGCTTGAAGTTGGGGTATATAAACTGGAATTCGAAATTTTTGCTCGACGAAGCCCTCAATTAAAAAACAAGATCATTTCCGATAATAGGTTTTCAGAATACCTTGTGCACTTTTCTTGATTATTAATATGGAAATGAACACAACATAAATTCATTCAAGTGGCCAACCTATAATTCAAATGATGATGAACTTGCTCTGGTTCTTCGACGTTTATGTGCATGCACATACAATATTCGATTTGTCTGAAAAATAATCAACCCAAGGATGATGAAAGCAGCTGCTGTATTCAAGGGGAAACGCATTACCATTTCGTGATTACTCTTACAAAAGACGTAATGCTTCCTTGATGTTGTCGACTAGCACTTTGACTTCGTTCTTGACTTAACTCTTTAGGAGGATCGTCGATCTCAAGTACTGAATGCCTTCGTGTTCTACTCCTCTCAGTCATTTCATTCATCACGGTGTTTCGTAGTATTGTTTGTCATCGAGTTGACAGACGCCAAAAAATGTTTCCCTAAAAACACCGTGGGTTTACAGTTAAATAAATCTCCTATTGCTTCTCTTGAAAATCGTTATACACTGTTTGTATCGTAGATCTTTGTGTCATTATTTCAGCTACCGTTTAATCTCTGGGACTAAACTGGATTTCTCATTGGTTACTGATTTTGGATAAAAGTCCATGCTTGAAAGTATACTAGACAGGTATAAGGAACTTCATACCAAATAAAACATTGTAACATATTGTAAACTGTCCTCGATTGAGTTCCATGTGTGACAATGGGACTACAGTATGGAATAACTGAAACTGCCCAACTCCAGAGAAGAATGGTAGATATCATTTCAAAAATTCTTTATTGCCAGCGAACCACGAGTTTATTCAGTTAGATTTGGTCGACAACCAACTTTAGCTTCAATTGCTACAAATCAATCAGTAATTTGTCTGTCGCTGATTTTGCTGCATTTATGGCATTGATGAAGTTGACTGGAAAATAATACAAAAAGTATAATAGTGGAATCTTGCTTGACCTCTTAAGCAAGAAACCGAAATTGTTTTTTCTACATGAATAAAATTCATTGCCTTTTTCTCATTCATTGCAAATGAGTTCTCGATTTAAAACTAAGTCCATTCAGTAACTCGCCTAATCAAATTATTTGACTGTCTTTCACCCTTCTTTCCATGATTGTGTGTATATCTACTATATTCCCTAAACAGGTGTTGTGCTTAGATACACTGCGAGACGTGAACTAATCTATTCCACTTTTATTTTTCAGGCCATCATGTTGTTCCAGTCGAAGAGCGCAAATGTTTACAATGACACATTGCTATGAAAATGAGACGGAGTCAAATATTATGAAATCGCCTTCATTGAACGATGGTCGGGAAGAATTCCAGATTGCTTTCAAGGTTGTGTATGTTCACACCCTATTCACGGCTGATCACAGCCAAGTGATTTGACATCAGTGGTCACTATTGTTCAGTTAAAACTACCCAGAGTGAATCCATTGGAATAGTGAGAATTACCATGCAAACTGATCTTTTCTGTTTGCTGCACTTCCAACCTAGCTGCATCGCCTTTGCTACTCACTTCATGAACCGGAGCCCAAAAAACCTCCGATCTATGAGTCTCTTTCATCATGCCAGATGTACATTATCCGTCTCATCTCATCGAGCGTTTTATATAAAACTGTATTATAAAATAAGAAAACATACTGAAATTCGCGATTATGCTCGTGTGCTGTCGGGGCAATATCTGTGGGCAATGTGTCTCCTTGGTATCTTAAGTAGCTCAATATTCCGTGCTGGATCTTGTCCACTGAGCAAACTGTTGACTGCTTTACCCTCAATCTGATGTATACCTCACGACACACAATCACGAATATTGAAACAGATATCAACCACCGAAAACAGTGTGCATATTCGTATCTAATTCTAGGATGATCAGAAATATCCCATAGAATAAAACGTTTTCTAAATGGAACGTATGATTGAGCAGCTCATCTAGTCAGTGTACTTCTCTATGCCAGCTCTTTAGCATTTTGATTTGATTATCGTCAATGAATAGACCGAATTAGTTTTGATTATCTGGTATTTCAACCTCTCAATTATTTTCTGAGGTAGTATTTGCTGAAAATTAACTTACCGAAATGAAAAGCAACATGGGTCACTTTTGTTTAGTCATGAACCAAATATATTGCCTCAACGCCTGTTGACCTCGAAAATCGAAAGGAATCGATACCGCTAATTTGGAAGTATGTACGATAAAACGGTTTCTTGCGCCATGTGTGATCCTTGGTCAGATTTCTGCACTGTAGCAAAAGTTCATACAGGGAAAACGTCTACTTATCCTACACCACAAAATAAATTATATTTTTGATCGGACTGGGATTTCTCAAAAGATAACCCATGACTTTCGAATAGGAAAAACGCAAAACAAATACTGGTTTCCAGTCTGAAGCACAATGCCTGCCTTATTCGAGCCAGCATTCCCATTCAAAAGGAGGATAGGGCAGTTTTCTTCAAGTAACATGTGCTTAAGGTATCAAAGTACCACTTCACTTAGGCGTATAAATTGCACCAAATTCAATCTCTCTGGTGGAGTGGGTGAGTAAAATGTCCTGGTCAAACTGGTTCACTGATGTAGTATTTGAGACCAATTTATTGGTTTACAACAGCAGTAGGCATTCTTTAATCGTCGGGGGGGGGGGGTGTTAACAACTCTTTGATATGAGCTACTAAAGAGCAGGGTAGAAAGATGAGGTTAATTACTCCCCGGATTCATCTACGTTACAAGAACATTATGATCGATAGGATTCTCAACGTTTGCTCAGTTTGTCAAACTTGGCTTAGTATTGATGACTCAGTGCTCCAAACAATGATTATTTGAGCATTAACCGCTGAAAAACGCTGTACATTGGTTAACGTCAAATATGCCATCGAAATCTGGTGTCTGTGAAGGATAATGCGCTGTTGATATAGCAAAAAACTTTAAAAATATGGTTGGTCAACGAACGTGGATATCCATTGACACTGATTGGTAGAATAAATTGTTACGAGACCAAGTAGGTTGGGTATTAGGAACGGTACAGTCCTCATGCAAAATACCTGAACAGTACGACACGTCAGACTGATTGCTCAGAATAGAGTATATGACCGTCATCCTGATTTCTTTCTTCGTTCTTTTGTTCGCGATTTCGTGAACATGATTGCTGTTTAGAAGCATTAGCAGGAGAAGTAGCTGTGTGATGGAATTTTCGACGTAATAACTTAAAGTAATACACAAGGTCGAAAATTATTTGGAAATCATGGGCAACACAAAACGCGTGTCCGGACATTCGGTCGCCGAACATTTGCACGAATGGACATTTGGTCACCACACATTTGGATGATTTAATTACACTATATTCACTTCAGTCTGTCAAATGTCGTACTCCCAGAAAGTGGATTAGGCGTGGCCCGTCCTCTTGGCCATTCTCGGGATTTATGTTCAGCACCTGGTAATCCTGAGTCATAACGGCATACACTGACTGAACTCGATAGGCGAAAAGGTTTGCGCTATGCACTAGGCATCACAGTCTCATTCTTCGGACCACAGCAACCTCACAACAGTTTCACACCGAAATTCCTAAAGCCGAAGGCTTGAAATAAAAGGCAGCTGAATTGACAGTGCGACGCACCACGACAGCACCCGGCTAATCTGGAATGCAAGCCTTTGTCCTTTTTGAGGTGATAGACCCTTGATCCACTTGACTACCTCAGTATGTGAACAAAACGGATCACCTTTATGGTTACATACGGCAGGCAATAAAAGCAAAGATATTTGCCTCATTTGAATGTCTGTCATTCTATGAAAGTGTTGTACAAATAATGATGTGGATTCCACTTTAATTTCCTGTTGCCGTTGAGCCTAGTCAGGCTTAATTGTGGTCCTCCTTTCCATTTCCTAAATTGTTTCTTCCATCTTATAATTCAGTAAATCTGTGTTCCAAGCAAAACAAGCACTTGCTCTATGAATTGGGAAAATTTAGAACTATAAGTGGTTGACCCTGGGTTGCTCGGTCGAATACATATATATATATATATATATATATATATATATATATATGCACGTTTCCACTTTTCCATGTAGGAATATAATGTTTAATTTTGTATTTGTCTGAATAATTGATATAGTTCTGTGACAAAATTACTTCCACTTACTATCCTCCAGTGGTGAATGCAGCCTGGTTTGCAGCTCATCCATCAGTTCATCTGGTTGCTTTACAGCAATATGCAAATTGTTTACTGCGGAACTGCAAGTACTGTCTGAATTTGGAAAGGGTTGTGCGATTCTTCAGATTGACTTTGTTTCAATATTATTGTTTCCAAAATTATCAAATTCATGTAGATAACTCCTTGTTCAATCAAATAATTGGGCCACATTTTAAGAGAAACACATTGACATCAGGTGAGGCACGTACGGCTGTGTAAGAATGAGAAGAACGGGGTGAAACTTCACCAAAACTGTTTTATTGACTTGACTTTCTTGTACACTGTAGGACATCATTCTCATGGATGGCACAAATGATATATGGTGGAATGAAATTAAATGGGGACTTATTTAAACTATATCTAGATTCATGTATGACAATGCTTTGTCCTAACAAATGGCAGGTGATCACACCGTTTACTCGTCGTCTGCACATTGCACCATATTGTGCGTCCACAACTGTCCACGTGGACTCGACCGTGTCATGACCAGAGCTAGGCGACTCAGTAGCTACCATGTAACCAAACCAGGTGATCAAGAGGTGATCATTACCAAGAACAGTGAACAGATGCAAGCTTCTCAGTCGGCTTTACACATTCCAAATGGGCAAAGTGAACAAGGTGGGCAAAGCCACACTGCATTCACAGACTGAAGTCGAGGACAAAAAGGGAAGCGAGGACTGTAGTGCAGATACAATGGAGCAAACGTATCCGAATTTCCATCCGTCTCCACTGTTGTCGCGTAAACGTTTACAGCTGCAAGAAATTTGATTAAACAGACCCTTCACTAATGCTCAGCTATCTAGAATAGGGCTGTCAGACCCAGACTGCTGCAGTTGCGAAAGATAATCGAGTTCGTACTTGGTTCCAGAGGATTATATATGCTAATTTATCGGCTCCACAGATGGATTTCATTGTTGTGAACATTGATACACAGCACAAAATCCTACTATCCACTACCACCCTAGCAAGCATCCAATGTACAGAAAGCCACTAGATACACGCTCAAATCAGTTGGTCAGGACCAGCTCACGTTCTGATCTAATCCGATCACAAAATGCGGCTCTTAGGAGGCCAGTTGCTAGGGCTTTTGTGGATGTTCGTAACATAAACGCGCTAGTTATTATTTCACGTGCAGGTCTATACGTTTCGACACCCAAAGTGTTGCCCAGCAGCCACTGAATGACGGAGCTCAACTGCAGTCTATTATTCGTATGCCCCGATAATTGTTTATCGCCACGCGGAAAAGTGAAGGCGGATAGAAGTTCGGATACATTTATCCCAATGTACCCGCACTACAGTCCTTGCTTCCTTTTTTGTCCTCGAAGTCAGTCTGTGACTGCAGTGTGATCTTACCCACTTTATCACTTTGCCCACTCGGAATGCGTTGAGCCAAGATTCAGCACGTTATTCTTTGATAGCTAAGTTCTCGCTGTATCACTTTCCCTTTTCACTCGGTTATTAGAAACCTGATAGCAGTTTATCGTTTGTTAAATTCCATCAACATGGTTAGAACAGCGCCTTGAGGAAAAATACTTGTTTTTACTATCATACTGTGGAAATGGACCCACCGAGGTTATCTGGATCGAACAGACAATAATACCGAAATTTTAAAGAGATATTTTTCGATTTGATGATTGATATTTTTACAAATGAAATACAAGAATTTGCGAGTGTACTGCTTATTTACAATTGCTGGTTCACATTCAACCGATTGTAACCCGAACGGAGTAGTTAGGATATTCGCTGTGGTTTACTAGGGCTTTTCTGCAACATGAACGGGAGAATTGGAACATAGGTGGGTTACTTCCTCCTTTACATAAAGACAAGCATACATATGTCGTTTTGCAGCGTGATCCCAACTCTCTTGTATTCCATGTGACGACATCCTACAGGTCTGTCAGATGAAATCCGAGAGGGGCTCGCGCATTTGTTTTCCATTACTATTTTATATTCAAAATAAACTGCACTGCCAACAACTTATTATGAGCCGTCACGACGGACGTTTCCATATAGTCCGTTTCCTACAACTCTATTTTTATCCTTTCAAAATCAGATAAATAAATCTGAACGCATTCCACAGCAATGAAAACGTAACCCTTTCTCCCAATCTCATATAGAATTATTGTGACTAACTTCAGAATAAATGTCTTTTATGACGCGCTCTTCTTGGGCGGGTGTTAGACAGCATTGTATTCATCGAGTTCTCA